AGAAGCAAGAAGCTTAAAATGCCCACTCTCCAAAGCCAATTTACATTGGATAGAAAGTAAAAGGGAAAAAAAGATAAAAAGAGGGCTACTGTTTATAATACATACCAATGTATGATTTTTTTTGGAAAAATTATTCTACAATAATAATTTTTTTAAGGAAAAAGAAAGAAAAAAAGTCAACCCACCAATATCTTACTGCTCTTAATTGCATTCACATGTTTCATTTTTTATTTTTATTTTTTATCGTATTATTCTTAAACATGCTTTTTAAAGCTTGGTAATGTTGTACAATCTTTTGGCTCCTGTTCTAATTTGTTCCATACATCAACCCCAACAAAGGAAATATAATGTGTTTTTTTTTTTTTACATTTGTTCTTGCTTTTGAAGCGAGTAGATATATATTAGTTAGAAAACGACAATTTTATATGAAATAAAAAAAAAAGACAATTTTGTTTCACGACCCATATTGATAGGTGGCGGTAATGCGCTTTCAAATTGTTTGCCAATCGCCATTAAACCCCACAAAGAAGCATAAGAGCAAGAATAATAACAATAAAAAGGATCCAGCTGGGGGCGCTGTTCCTCCGCTTTCGGCTACATAGCACTTCCGAAGAAGACCTCTTCAAACGTGTCGTTGCTTGTTTTTACCAGAGCGCCTGAAAAGTTGAGCCCATTATGAACTGAAGAGGACAGAATATCACACTTAAGTTGTCTCTCAGTGGTAATCGTGAGGTAAGTCGTGTCTGATTCTGTTTTTAATTGGTTTAAAAGTGGTGACGAAACGTAGAATCGGTCCTGGGTTTAGCTAACGGTCCAGGGCGATCTAACAAAGGCTACAAAAAAAACCAAAACGTGACGAACACCAAAGAGAAAAAATATATATCACAACGAATATACAAAAAATAAGCTTGAGCTTTAAAACCGTATACATTTAATTAACAGAGCAGGGCGCTGGTTGAAGCCCTTGTCACGGAGTGGGCCCTGGAATTGTAAGTTAGCAAAAAAGATGCTAATATTACGACCATCCAGTCCAGTGCTACACTGGTTCAAAGAAGATAAAAATGACAACCTACATTATAGTCTATTTTAATCATTGGGTATCACAGTGTTGGGGTATTTTAAAGCTTGAATGTCTGTATCAAGCACATTTAACATTTTTGGCTTGTATGTTTTTTATTTAATGGCACGAAGTCAGGTTAGTTTTTAACCCCCACCACACCCACACGTGGGTTGTTTTAAAACGTGCTTAAAAGCCTTAAGGCCAAACAGCACATGAAAGCTGGATAATGCGGGCTAAAGTGGAAGACTGCTCATTCACAAACTCACCCAGTGTCACGTTTCATTTTTATTTCCTTTGCTTTAATGTAGCTCGACACAGAATGGGGAACTGTAGTTTGGAGTTAGTTGGCTTTTGTCTGGCCTCAAAGGGTGGGGAAGGCGCCACATAATGGCATTATGACCCCAGGGAAAAATGTTACGGATCCGCCTTTCTTGAAGGATACTCGGCTAATTGTTTTGTTTGAGCAACATGGGTCATGGTGTGACACCAAACGGGTTGGTTAAACAATAGCACAACAAAACAACAACTAAACTTTAGCAATTTGATATCGAAAATTTGTCATGTTCATATTTATCATGTTTTAAATGTCCTTCAAAGTAAAATAAAGACAAAACAGATTGTTGGAGCAGTCTAATCCTAACAGTTAATTAAAATCCATGTTTTGTTGTTGTTGTTTTTTATGACATTTTCCTCTGATTAAGTATTTTTTATAAGGGATAGGGGAGTGACAGCCTAGTGGTTAGGGCATTGCGCTTGGAATGATTTGGTTCTGAGTTCTTGCCCCACTCCCACAGCCTGCCACTCCTGGTCTCTGAGCAAGACCCTTAACCCCACACTGCTCCCTGGGTGCCCCACAATAGCAGCAAACTGCTCCCTAAGGTTAAGTGCAGAGGTAAATTTCTCCAATGTGAGATCAATAAATTTCAGTTATTATTATTAAAAGGCTTGAAGTAATATAGCTTCAGCATATCAGAGATTCTAGCTGTTACTGAAGTATAAGTATGTGGAATATCTCAGCTTGGACACAAAAAACCAAAAAATCTGTAGATTGTGAAACCAACAGAAGTACCCAAAACTAATGCATTGTTAAAGAATTTTATTAATGCACTTAACAGATGAAGTTAATGTTTCCTGGTTGCTTCTCCTAATATTTCACTCTCTGAAGAACTGACGTGTAATCTCTGGACACATTGAAGTCCTTACTGTAGCTTTGCTGTTATCTGTTGCCCCATATCATGTCAATTGCTCGTCTGTTATATTGCATTTCTCCATCAGGACTTAAAAGTATCAGTCTACGCTCTAATGTGATTGTGCAACCTCATGTCAAATGCATAAAGAGCAAAAAAGTTAAACTATAAAATATATGGTGATACTTTGTATCATGTAAAAATGACATCATTTGGTGAGAAATGTATATTTAACATTTTTAATGTTTGTTTTTTT